ACACAAAACAACAAAGACAATAGCGAAGCAATAAAAAACGATTTAACATTGAAAACATTTTTGTGGTACAGAATTCCTTTTATTCGCCTTAATGTGACGTCCATATATGACGTCACACGACTAGATGGGGATTTTTAGAAATGTTGTGCCGGAACTGTGAACCAGGGAGGAGTGAGGGTTAATGAAATGTGACAATTATTTTTTTGTATTTAGAGGGTTAATATAACGAGAAATTTTTTAAATTTTATTTTGAGGGTTAACGGCGTGACGCAGCATTTATTTCATATGAATCATATTACAGGGTTAATTAAATGGGACGCAAGTTTAATTTGATGTTTTGCAAACAAAATTCACAAAAACCAGTTTTTTTCCCGTCAGAATTGAGTTTTTTTTTAGATGAGCAGAACCGTATGTCTCTCATGTATTCTCATTTTTTGAAACGTGAAATGAGGTCGAATTCTTAGGCCTACTTAAACAATAACGATAAAATATTTCTAGAAAATATGTCAAAAAAAAAAAAAAAATAAGAAAGAATAAAGAAAAAAACACCTACTAAACCAACAATTAAATTATCCAATTTCTGAGCTTCCTCTCTGTACTTAGTACATCATCCTTAACCGTTTTTTAATGTACACCCCAAAATCATGCAAACCTTGCTGTCTATGTACACAATAATATCTTCTTCCTGATATCACAAAATAAATGATCTAAATATTTAAATCTAGGTAATCTATATATATTAATTAAATGCAACCTTTTTATAAGCTGTATACATTTTTTTTACTACAATTTTGTTACAAAAATGATTGTTATAATGGTTGCCATGTTATTAGTTAATAAATTGTACAGTTTATTCCTGTTTTGTAAATTTTTTATTTTTTGGAAAAAAATGTCCTACATTTATGACGGTACAAATATATATTTGGACCATTAAAAATCAACCAAACTAAATTTCTTTCGACCTAAGTGTGCCAAAAGCAATATAATAAAACATTGTTTAAGAAAAAAAATTCATAAAAAACGTTTTAATAACAAGCTTTTATGTAATGATGCACTAAAAAGTAGAAAATAAATTATAGACTACTATTTAAATAACTATAAAGAAAAGCGTGGGTCACTTTAGTATCTATTGGATACCTTTACTAATGTTAAGGAAGACACCCACGCTTTTCTTTATAGTTATTTAAATAGTAGTCTATAATTTATTTTCTACTTTTTAGTGCATCATTACATAAAAGCTTGTTATTAAAACGTTTTTTATGAATTTTTTTTCAGTACTTTACATGTTTTATCTACAATAGAGTTACATGACTAAAAACCATTGCGCGCCTACTGAATATCACGTTCAGTAGGCGCGCAATGGTTTTTGAACGCAGCCATTACGTGGTCGTGATGGCGCAGCTATTGATGACGCGTGTGGTGTGGTTGGCTAGACATGCCTACTAATTCGGTCCAAATTTTAATTAATTCATAAAAAATCAATTAGGCATCCAATTAAGTCAAATTTAGTTTCAGATTGCATTGTCTTCATGTCTTGACCCACGTGCCAACTGTGAATCGTGTCGATCAAGTAGAACTGTCCGAATTTTCACTCCTGCGTTTCCGTCTAGACAGACAGACCGACGAGGAAGTGAGTTAAATAAAAGCTTGTAAAAAGTCATTCAGAACTTAATTCTGTAAATGAAGGGTTAAAGCTAGTAGAAAGTTAACAGATAACATTGTGCAATGAAGTAAAGATCAGTAACTTTGTCATTCACTATACAATGTTTACTTGTGTAAAGTAACTGTACACAGCAAAAAGAAAAGCAAAACAAGATTTTGTTATATTGGTTCATTTTATTATAAATATAATTTCAGTTTTTTTTCTCACACACCCAACAAAAGAATTCCTCTCAGCTACATCTCCAAATCTAGCATAGTAAAAAAATGTTGAGTCATAGATCAAGTATAAATAATCGGCAAATTATGTATTGTGATTGCATGTATATTGTTGAAATCACGGGGGAGTGAATGTATTCTTATAATCTGCATGGGGTGTTCAAATAATAGGACAAAATTGTCACAAAAAAAATACTATTTATGCAGCATTCAAGTAATAGTCAAATTATGTAGAGATAAAATAATAAGAGGATTGGGATAATGATAAAATATGTATTATGATAATACGCAACAAGCATTAAAAATAAAACAAATAGGTTTTGTAATAATTTAGCTAGGTACATGCAAAAAATATAAACTAAATGGAGAAAAACCATAAACTATCAAGTATAGATAGTTTTTCTTTTATGTAGTTATAAGAAACAAATATTAGTAAAGAAAAAAAAACTTAGTGCTTAATTACTTCATGCACAAAAATACTTCATTACTAAGTAATGATGAAAAAAAAGGATTTAAAGATTAATTAACTACAAATAATCAGCATCTGACTTTTTTTTTAATTTATGGAAATTTTTTTTCTTTAACCATCTATAATCAGAATTTAAAAAATCTATTTTATCATGAAACTAGCATTTGGAAGCAAAAAACTTTATAATAAAACATTAATATGAGCAGGGATAAAAAAAGCTATTGAAAAAAGCATGAGCAGAGAAAAGCTGTATAGAGTTTAAATAAATAATTCAAGGGAATGCATTTGTAATACACATTTTGTAGCAAAAACCCACAATTCTTAATATAGTAATTTCAAATACTATATTGCAACAAAAAAAAAAAACCCAGCATTTCTGTACAGTTGCAACATATTGCACAAAATAAAGATATGCAATTTCACCAAGGAATGCAAAACTTTTATTTTAACAAAAAAATAATTCTGTTTATAAAAACTAATTTGGCATTGGTCAAGAATTTGTTTAAAGCAGGTATTAAAAAAAAGCAACAATCATACAAAACAGTTAAAAACTGGCATACAAGATAGAAATCTATGATTGTTAAGCAAAACAGAAAATACAGACATTATACAAAACAAACACAAACAGTCATAATAAATAAGAATAAGACAATCATACAAAATAGACAAAAACAGTCATACTAAAGAGGCTTAAGACAAATTCTAGTAAATATATATTTTAAAAGCCAAGTTACTTTGGTGAATTGGTGCTAAAAAGTCACAACTACATCGTCAGTACATTAACAATTAAATATTTTTTCTATAATGTAGAAAAATTAAAAAAAATAATTCTGCTTTTATAAGACTTTTACAATTTTTAGTAACTAAAATGTTGATTAGTACCTAAAAACGCAAACTTTTTAAAGATATACCTTATAATAATCAGCAAAACATAAAGATGGCAGTGACAGCTTTGTTTTAAAACTCAGCATAACTAGACAAAACATCTATTAAAAAATCAGAAGGTATTGAAACCTTTTTTGTACTACATGTAATCTCACCCGTCCACCTCAATCCCTTTAAATAAAACATTTGACATAAAAAAACACTTACTTTATTTTTATTGGCACACAATTTATTATGACAAAACTATCAATTTTTTTCAATAGTAAGATAACATTAATAAAAATTGTCATGCATTTTTTTTTACACGGGAATGTGTTATAAACAAAAAAAAATTTTCATTCACTGTAAACATTCACACATCACAGTACCACATCTACATTACTCAACACATAAGCCAATTCACCTATGTGTTTTTATAACGCACCTCACTCTCTCACAACTATATCACTCAAAGCATAAACCCATTCCCACGTGAGTTTTACAAATATTCACAAGTAGCTGACATACCTAAACATTTTATGCCAGTTAAGCTTTGTAAGTTTGTAGTGATCTAGTCCAGTGTTTCTTTCAGCGCACCCAGCAAATTGCAACGAAAATAGAAATAACAAAACATTGTAACGGAATTTTTAGTAGAAGTAAAAAAAAAAGCCCACTAATTATGCAACTCTATGGAAGAAAATACTCTCTGTACATTCAATTTTATTTTTGTGGGAAAAATTCTTGCAACAACAACAAATAAATATAACTACAACTTCAAAATCAATACAACTTAATCAAAATATAGAAAAAGAAAGCTAGGGCTATTAAAATCTTTAATTTTTTAAATTCAAAGTGTAAGTGTAAGAAAGAAATCTCATTAGTTTTATCACCCACAATTAATTACAAAAAAAAAAACAACTCATTAATTTAAAAAAAAAATCACACCATAAAAATAATTAATCCATAAAAATAATAATCACACTATAAAATAATCACACCAAAAACAAAAAGAAATCACAGATTTCAGCTACATGGCAGGGCCAACTATGTGCAACAAAATTTTTTGTTTAAACATCATAAATGTGACAACAGCACATACAGTCAACACGTTTTTTAAAAACATCATAAACTTGATTCACATCAAGAAAACACAGTCAACACAATTTTTTTTAGAACATGATACACAAACTACTGCATACAGATACAGTCAACACATTTTTTTAAAAACATCATAAACTTGATTCACATCAACAAAACACAGTCAACACAATTTTTTTTAAACGTGATACACAAACTACAGCATACAGATACAGTCAACACATTTTTTTAAAAACATAAACTTGATTCACATCAACAAAATTTTTTTTAAACGTGATACACAAACTACAGCATACAGATACAGTCAACACATTTTTTTTTAAAACATCATAAACTTGATTCACATCAACAAAACAGAGTCAACACAAATTTTTTAAAACGTGATACACAAACTACAGCATACAGTCAACGCAAAATTGTTTAAATGTGATACACAAAGCCCAGCACATTCAGTCAACACAAAAAACTACAGGTTGTGATACTTTCTATCAGGCCACAATTATAGTTCTTGAGTTCTGGTAATCAGGCCACAATTGTAATTACTGATAGCTGGCCATAAGCTGACAATTTGACTAAGGACATAACTTATAAGACTCCAACATTTTATACATAATATTATAATAACTCTAAAAACAATGATTTCCTTTTCAAACATGCACATTGATATTATTATCTACAAACACTTATTACACAAACTTACACGAACTAAAACCCATCCAAGAGCATTATGCATAGATATTTCATATTTCGATGGCTGTGTTGACATTTAACAACATATTTAGCATGTTGACAATAAAAATGTATTGCAACCACTGAGGTATGGGATGATAGTGGTGGATGTATTATGACCACACAAGTATGGAATTGATGAATAAACTGCCACCATGGAGGTATGATATGAAATATGTGGATGTATTATGACCATACAAGTATGGAGCTGATGAATAAACTGCTACCATGGAGGTATGGGATGATAGTGGTGGATGTATTAGGACCACACTAGTATGGAATTAATGAATTTACTGCCACTATGGAGGTATGGGATGATAATGACAAATGTAACCGTTGTGAAATATCTTCAACCAGTCTGCATAAATGCCTGAGTCTTTGCGAAGGCGTAGGATTTTAATGTAATTACCTTTTATAATCAATGTATAAATTGTAGTAATTAAAGCATTAAAATCAGAACAATCTATTAATATAAATAACCAGTGTTATAAAATAAAATAACTCCAGGCTTAAAACAGAATTAAATAATTGGTAGTTATTTTTAACAGATTATAATAAATTATTTAAAAGAAAATTATAAATCTACATAACTTTTAAAAGCCAGCGGAGAAAGGTGAAAAATGGTTTTAAAAAAAAGTTTAACAAATGCTTTATTGTACATTTCTATTTAATAGGCATTAAAAAATAAATACAAGCAAAGTTTGTTCAAAAAGCTGAGTTTTCTCCCCTTTGACTATAGCAAGTCTAATGGGGTCGTCCATAAGTGACTGCACACTTTTTACCTCCCTTCTATCAATTCTAACACACTGTCACAAAAAGTCAGACCCTAAAAAATATTTCCCCACAAGGAATGTCACCCTTAATCACGGCAAGAGACAATTTAATTCTTATGTACACATACTTTCCATAATGAGATGTACTTAATATTTCTTAATTTAATTTAAAAAAAATTAAAATTTCATTTTTTACTAACAAGAATATACTAACTAGTATAAGGGTGGCCATGCATAAATGTATTAACAATGCAGTCTTTGATTACACTAACATATCAGCCATTAATTTACAAAACCTCAACCTGTTTATCAATTGGTCCCAACAAAATATCTTCATAAGATGAAATTAAAACAAATATAAAAAATGTAATACATCTGATTATATACAAATGTATTTGGATGGTAATTTTTGTATGTATTAATTTATAAAAACAGAGTCTAATATGTTTGTTACTTGGTTGTATGAAATAACAAATCAACAGATGGACCAGCAACAGACTTCATCATCTGTTGGTGGCCGGGGCAGGCTTTGAAGCTTTGAGCAGCTCCAGCCTCTCATTATCGTCAGCGCTAACGAAGTCTGGGTCCCACTCTAAATCACTGGAATGCATGGGACTGGTCGTGGACGGCTTGGACCAGCTGTCCTCAGACAGGCGGGCGTTCACCTTCATCTGGGGGGACATACCTGCACACAAAGTAAAAACTTGTTGTATATAATATGTCAGGAATGTCTGACCGCGAAGTGTCAAGTTTGGATTCCGGACTCAAGTCCATAAGACGTCCTTAAGTCCATCTATCTGATGGGTGGCTGACTCAAGTTAGGGAAAGTAAAGATAGCTGGGTATAGTGTTGACCACATTATACCTTCATATGTAGAGGTCACAGACACAGGTGAACGCTACTTCATCTGCCCCATGTTTGAGAGGGTACTTTAGTTTTTATAAAATATATTTTCACGGGTAGGCAAATAGATTTAATTAAATTAACACCACTTATCAACAAACAAAGTGCATAATATTTTAAAATAAAAAAATAATGTCACATAGAGTGAAATATATGGATGATGAAACCAAAACTTACGGATAAATGCAAAAAAAAAAAATCTTTAAAAATTGTGGGACAACAGAAATTAAAAAATATAGTTAAAATAGCTGTATTATTATTTTAATAACATTTCCCTAGAATGTTTGATTTTAAAAATATCAAGTTAACTACTTCAGCTGTGCTACCCAAAACAAATGACGTTACACACAAGAAACTATTGGTAGTAGGTTTTAACATTTTACAAATTATTCTCTATTTTTTAACTGCTTAAAGTAATACTTATTCTTTAAAAAATATGATTCAAAATATGATTCAAAACTTTGGAGTTTTAAAATAATTGTTTTAAAATTGAATAGTATTAGGTCAGTATTTCAATGATTTACCAGCTTCATGATCCCATTCCATGTCTAAAGAGCTGGCCTCAGTTAAGCTTTTATCTTTGTTGGGGGCATTGCTGCTGCTAGAACTCTGGGCGTCACCTGATCCTATAACAAGGTGACAGATAAAAAAATATCTCAACAAAAATATCTAGCTGTTAAGAAAATAAAATATGGATGCTAGAACTCTGGGCATCACCTGATTCTATAAGAAGGGAACAGATTAAAAAATTATCAACTAAAATATCTAACTGTAAAGAAAATAACACCCTTGACAAAACATTCCATCCACAAAAAAGATTCTGATTATTAACAATTGCTTTTGCATAATTTACCACTATAGTATAGCTCTGATCCGTGCGGCGTCAATTCGGCCAATGACGAAACGGCCCCGTCAAAACGACCCCGACAAAACGACCCCGTCAAAACGACCCCGTCAAATCGGCCCCGTCAAAAGGGCCAGCGACATATGGACCCCGTCATTTAGGCTCCCGACAAATAGACTCCCGTCATTTAGGCTACCGACAAATAGGCTCCCGTTATATAGGCTCCCGACAAAAGGGCTCCAGTCAATTAGGCTCCTGACAAATAGGCTCCCGTCATTTTGGCTCCCGACATATAGTCTCCCGTCATTTAGTTTTTTCCACAAAACGGCCCCCGTCATTACGACTACCGACAAATAGGCTCCCGCCATTTAGTTTCTCCACAAAACGGCCCCCGTCATTACGACTCCCGACAAATAGGCAAGCGTCATTTTGGCTCCCGACAAAAAGGCTCCTGTCAATTTGGCTCCAGACAAAAGGACCACTGACACAGTGGCGTAGCTACCGTAAAGCTAGCGTAAGCAAGGCATGGGGGCCCAAGGCACATAGGGGCCCTTTTCCCTCATAAAAAATTAAAACTTTTACAATGGAATTTTAATATTTGTTACATATAAATAATTTTTAAAAAGAAAAAGGTTAAAAGTTCCAAAAAGCCCCCCCCCCCCCCCCCCCACCGTTTCGGCAGTGGGATTCAGTGTTTGTGGGTCAAACAGAGCCCAATCGTTATAATAACACTACAGGCTATATCACTTTGTCGTGCAAGACATTGAGAGAATCAGCCTATAAATTAACTTTTTAGCAGTAGTAGGCAAGCATAATAATATAGTATAAATACAAAATCAGGACATATAAAATACAAAATGTTGCCTTCAGAATATTTATATATTAAAAAACATCCATCGTAAGTAGAAGTTGATCTCTTCGTTTAACTCCTCTGTAGCCTAACGCAGAGGCGTAGCGAAGGCGAGGCGGGGGGTGCGGACCGCAACGGGTGACACCATTTAGGGGGGTGCAACCAAAGGCAAAAAATTGTAAAATTTATAGAATGAAATGCCATTTTCCAGATCCATTTGTTAAAGTTAAATAGTCTTCTAAGTACAAATCGAAAATTATATCAAGAGGGGGGGGGGGGTGTGACACCACGACGTAAACGTAAACTATAAAGAAAACAATGCTACATCCAACTGTATTATAAACTGACTGTAGATAAACATCGTTACTATTAAGTCAGCAGTGATTAAAGCTTAAACACGTACGTGTACCAGTATGTGGCATATATATAAATTTTATGCCTATGTAGGCCGACACACACACACACATATATATATAGCTAGGATTTTTGGGCCCCTATGCAAAAATTATCAGTGGGCCCCGGTGCGGCACTTCGTATTGTCACCCCCTCCCAGGAAACAAAGCACCAGGTGAGACCCGACCTAGCGACGCCACTGGCCTAACGGCTGACGAAGGGGCCCACTGATAATTTTTGCATAGGGGCCCAAAAATCCTAGCTACGCCACTGCACTGACAATACCGTTTCTGTAGAGACTAAGTCTCCCGGCAAAGCGGTCCCATTGAATATGACATCTGCCAGTGGAACCCCTTCATCAATATTCTTTAGAGTTAGCTTATCCAACACTCTTATGTAATACAACGTATGCATCTCTTGTTCGGCAGGCCTTATTTTTATATTAGTTTATCTATTATAAAAAATAGTATGTTTTAATTTAAGGGTCATCTATCTATGACATCCATAATTGAGTCGGTTATAGGCTGTTCCAACTCATTGTGTGGGGAGAAGGGTCCACGCTGTACCTTCCTAACTGCAATATGCTTGAACAGGGGCGTAGCGAGGGGGGGGGGCGGGGGGTGCGGACCGCACCGGGTGACACCATTTAGGGGGGTGACACAAAGGCAAAAAATAGCAAAATATATAGAGAAAAAGTTGAGGGGGTGGGGGTGCAAATCAAAAGTTTGGGGGGGGGGGGGTGCAAATCGAAAACTTGAAAGTTTGTCCCCGGGAAAGGTCGCAACGCCTCTGGGGGGGGGGGGGGGGGGGTGACACCATTAAGTGCCGCACCGGGTGACACCCGACCTCGCTACGCCACTGTGCTTGTAGGTTATCAAAACAAAATGCTGTTATCATGTTAACATCATGTATATCATACATTTACACTTCTGTGCTCGCTGGTGGAATTTAGCTGTTAAGGGCTCGATTTGTTTGTGAATTAATGTTGGTTCATGAAAAAATAATTTCATTCGGGCATTAAAAAGAGGTTATGGTGGTATTGGAGGTAGGACACAATGGTTACTTGTATGCCAATAGTGGTCATATCATTCATTTTTCTGGAGCCAATATGTCGGGAGTCATTTTGTCAAAAGCCAATATGTCGGGAGCCCAATTGCCGGGAGCCAATATGTCGGGAGCCCATTTGTCGGTAGCCAAAATGTCGTGAGCCCATTTGCCGGGAGCCCAATTGTCTTGAGCCCTTATGTCGGGAGCCAATATGTCGGGAGCCGCTTTGTCGGGAGCCAATATGTCCTGAGCCTATTTGTCAGGGGTTAATATGTCGGGAGTCCATTTGTCGGGAGCCTAAATATCGGGAGCCCATTTGTCGGGAGCCTATATGTCGCAAGTCAATATGACGGGAGCCCATTTGACGGGAGCCAATAAGTCGGGGCCCTTTTGACGGGGCTATTTTGACGGGGTCGGTTTGTCGGGAGTCGATTTGACGGGGTCGTATTAACGGGGCCGTTTTGACGGGGCCGATTTGTCCCGGGCCGTTTTGACAGGGCACCCTCTGATCACATCAAGGAATATTTAACCATTATTCTACAGTTAACTCTTTATATTTAACCATTCATAAATCAAATTTACTGCCTCAATAGCCTAACAGCTGTGTTTTTATTTCCCTATCACACATCAGGATAGCAAAAATCTAGCAATTTATAGCTTGGATGATACATTTATGAAATATAGCAACTCCTGTAATGTCAAGATAGACATAAAGAAAAGCTAAACCTACCATTTTTGACGAGAGACCTAGTAGCCAGAGACCTGGCTTTCACGCTGGCTAAAAATATTTCAAAGTCATCTTCTCCACCAGCACTGTAGAGTTAAAAAATATCTTAACTGACAAATATACACTGTTTATATAGTTTTCAGAACTTATTTAAATGTTATTTGTTAAATATCTGTATTAATATAAAAATAATCTGTGTATACAGGAAAACTGTCTTGAACTAATGAATACATTGTTAATATACTCTTTTCAACACTAATTAAAGCCATATAATTTGAAACTAAAAACATTTTTTGTTGAATATCTGTAATAAAAAGCAAATAAATTGTATACAGAAACTGTCTTAAACTAATAAATATTATAACATTATTTTTTTCCCTTTTTCAGAATTAATTAAAACCAAATTATATTAAAGGATCAATTATTTTGTTGAATATTTGAACTAAATATCACATAAATTGTGTTTCAGGAAAATTGTCAAGATACACTTTTCAAAACTAATCAAAACAATAATTTTAAAACAAATTTTTTTTGTTGGGTATTTGTACTAAAAAAACAAAATTGTTTGCACAGCAGAACTGTCTTAGAACTACTCACATTTCCCACTCCTCATCATTGACCCATGCCTTGTTGTTGGAAACATTTTTAGCTGCATTCTCTTTGCTTAGCTTGGAAATACGGGCCGCTTCACGCTTAGCCTCGTAGAACGCCTCTTCGTCACGCTCTATTTCTCTTTCCTGCTGGGCCAGCTGCAACAGAAACATTGGAACCAGCGCTTTCAGAGACTGGTATTTAACTTTAGCCATTAGCAGATACATGACAGTAAATGTAACAGAAACATTGGAACCAGCGCTTTCAGAGACTGGTATTTAACTTTAGCCATTAGCAGATACATGATAGAAAATGTAATGATAGTGGTGAAAAAAAAACTGGGACTTGTTTATATAGATAACAAATAAATTTTTTTTCTCAAGAAGTCATATTTGTTAATGAAACAATCATTGAATAATTCAATTGATTCAAAACAATAGCTTAAAATTAAGATTAAACTCAGTATAACAAAAGTAATTAGAAGGTATTGTTTACAGTTATGATAAAAAAAGATTTTTTTCAGAATCCAATTAAAATTAATCCTGCACATGAAATTAACTGAAACAGAAGCCTATTTCATGAATCATGACTCTGCGTTAAAGAAAATTAAATGATCAGGCATCAATCTGATCAAATAATTAGAGCTTTAGCTTTGTTATCATACATAAATTATCATACTAATTTAATACCTATATAAATATTACAAAAAGATTTAGCTGTAAAAAACATTTGCTGTCAAAAAAAAAAACAACAGGAACACTTAACCCTCTGAGTTGTTCAAGCCAAACACAACTGCTTTAAAGTGATTAAATAGTCTACCACTTGGCTTTAGAAGATTTTTAAATTTATATCTCTCTAACAATTTAATCAAGGTAGGTGTAATTACTGCATTAATTAGCAATGATAATGAAAAGACAAGAGAAGCCAATAATATTTACATGCAGTCACAGATAATTTCATAGAATATTTACATGAATGCACAACAATAGTGACTTGAATGTTCCCTACTAATTTATAATTAAACATGGTTTATATAAAAAAAAAACTAGACAAGCTAGGCAATATTAAAATGTTTTTCTATGAAATTCAGCTGTTTGTTAAGTATTTTGTTAAATACAATGTTTGAGCATATTTGTAGAAATAAGATATAAATTACTAAGTGAAAATAAAGTTCAGTTATATTGAATGTGCAGAGTAATTCAAGATGAAAAAGACAGTTAACTTGTTAATATTAAAACAAAACTTGACAAAAGCAGATCCGCAGTAAAGATTTTTTTTTTTACCTTGGCGTCTGCTGCAGCATCTGCCTGTCTCTGCTCATGCAATAACACATCAAACTTTTTACTGCGGAGAAGCTGGTGCTCTCTGTCAGTTAACAATCTACACATCCACGAGGACGACCAAGATAATCAGCCACAACAGAGAGGCGAAAAAATAAAATAAAAATATGTACATACAATCACAACACTGAAAACAAAAGTTTTTCAAAATGTAAGGTATAGAAAAGAAATATTGAGAAGCTGATTTGCATGCGTTTAAGAAATGTTTAAGGGAGAAGAAAAAGTCATTGACTTGCACAGCAAAACAGAGTCCACTTAATTAATTTCAACAATTAAAGTAAGTTTTTTAGCTTCTTTATTTAAAAATATGACCTCAAAAACTTCACTATATAACGACGAAGCCAACCCACATAATGAATATATTACAGCTGGTGCCAAATTTCTTCATTAAACTATTTAGTTCTGTGTATGGTATAACAGGTGCTTTTTATAAGTTTAATGTATTTGATTTCTACATTACCACCTTTTGTTTTGGTCAACCAAAACTGATTTGTAAAAACAAAAATCTCATAAGTTTGATTTTGTCTTCAAGTCAGTTTTCTAACAGTTCCAGTTTTCTAGCAGTAAAAAACATTTTGATAACAATCCTCCAACCCTCCCTTTTCTCTCACACACACACACTAGACAATCTCTTTCCAACACCTATACATACAGACCCCAACACATTTTTCTCCTAAATCTATCTCAAGCAATATATCTCTTTTCTACACCCCTTTACATACTCTGATTAATTGTCCTCGTTTTTATTTCTTCTTATTGCCAGCGAACCTGTGGGGAAATATTCCCGGAGCTTAACGAGCTAAAATTAGAAACACCTCTGTCCATTCCGTCTCCAAGATATTCACACACTTCAGCAGAGTTGAGATTAATAAGGAAAAAAGAAAACTTTGGGCAAGCTTAGATCTAATCTCTCTCTTTTTTTTTCCTTCACTTGAAAGATGAAGTAACTGGCGAGAATTTTATTGGAGACAAAATCTGTGATGAGAGCCATCCAAGGATCAATATTTCTCCCAAGGTTGTCAACACGAGCCTGCTTTCAGGGACGGCGCTGATAGCGCGTAACCCAATTTACTGTCAACTGCCTGCTCGCTGGACAGGGGAATGGTTTTCTTTAAACCCAGCCAATTTCTCGCAATCTTACGAAGTGTGCAGTGTTTTTATACAGCAAAGAATGACAGAGAAATTTGAAGTCACTTTTTTAAATGGTTTGTTACAGTGAAAAGTATTCCCATTTATTAAAAAAAAAAACCTGTTTTTAAAAACATTTATTAGATAATTAAATACGGCAGGTTAATTCAATTAATAAACAAATCTATTACTAAAAAATAAGAGAAGGGCTTCAAATTACTAAAAGATTTTCAGAATTGTTGAGAAAATATTAAATTGAAATGCTGGCACTTAAATGTAAACCAAATCATCTACTCTAGGTCTATTATGATACAAACTGTTCCTCTACGAGCTTTTACAAAAATTATTTTTCCACTGAGTTTTTTTTTAAATAAAAAATAAAATAAAATTGAATAAAATAACCACTGGAGAATAAAAAAAAACATTTAAAAAGAGAGAAAACAACTCGAACAGCTCTACAACTCTATAAAACAGCCATGCTGAACAAAACAGCTCAAAGGAAATGTAAATGTAATAAACTGCTGCAACGCAACACTGACTATAGACATAACAACATCAATACGAGATGGCGATTTCTCAAAGAACAACAAATAGAAAAGGAAGAAGAAAAAAAAAAACTAAAAAACTTCACATGACTAGCACTTGTATTAAAACCAACCATCCACTTTTACACTCTTGCGGAATATCAAATTTTCCATCTGGGAACACGCCTGGAGGGCAATAGAATCTTACAGAATTTTAAAAAATATATTGGCTAACAAACAAGATTCAATTTTATGCCTCAGAAGGCAGGCAGGGAGCTGAAGTACCAGCATGGAATGTCAAAATGAGAAGGGAAAAATTTATAGACATTTGTCAAATTTAAATCAAATTGGTAGGGATGATTCATCGTAACAATTATCTTAATTTGTTACTTTGAATACTAAATAGGACACATAAAAAAAAAAACCCATGGTGTGGATGATGGTTTCTACAGCCAATAAAATATGTACATTCACATACCATTCTAACATAGGAAGACACAGTGAATGGCCCACAGTCCAGGGCCAAATGGCCACTTAAGCAGAAAAATAGAAGAAATAAAGTGACCATCATTGGGCTTAATGAATATGTTGTAAAAGTTTCTAAGTTGTCTCCCTTCAGCAGTAGCTGAACAATAGGGTATTTACTATTTGATGTATATACTTAGTGGAGAAGATAAGCTCATCTAATGGTATCTTGGCAATAGTATTATTCACCAGTTGTGTGAGATCAAGTTTACCATTCTTTATGGCTTACAAATTCTAACCAGGAATCTCTATTTAAGTTTATACTTTTTCAAAGAAAACCCAACTGTGCTAAATTTGTAACTTGACTGATGTTTACTTACTTTGTCATCTCATCAGTGTGATGCTCCTAAAAAAAATAATCACAATTTTATTTTACTTTAGTAAAAGACAAAAATTAAAGAAGCTAACTGTTTACATCTTTTATACATAAAAAAACAAAGTTGTTTAACATCATGGAAATAAGAGTTGGTTTTAATTAAATTAATCTATCAAATAATAATTTTAAATAAAATTTCTAGTAAAAGTGGAATATTATAAAATTCAAACATACCTCATCCATGAGATTTTCAAACTGATAAAAAGAAGAAAGAAAAAAAAAACATTTGAAATTAATATAATTGTTATAAGACATACAAGATAATAAATACATGTAAAACAGAAAATAGTGGAAAATAAAAATATTTGGTTTCAAGTATAAAGAATATTTCCTAGTCATGACTTAAATAACTAAGCTCCATCAAACTACAAAGGCAGAAAATATTTCTTTAAACCAGATGAACTCAACAAATGCAAGTGCTCTGAAAATTCTAGACAGTACAAAAAAATTCTGTGAATGATAGAAATGAAAGATAAAAAGCTTGAGGTTTACGAAGGGTCAGAACATCTAATCAAAAGTTAGCAAAAAAAAAAAAAAAAAAAGAAAACAAAATAAACTGAAATTTCAATAGCTATTTATTTTGACATTTTTTTTGTAATAGAATTAATACTTACAGGTAAAAAATAAAAGTGATTGTTTTTTTCTTTTTAAAAAACTATGACAAAAATTTGAAGAAGCAGTACAGAATTCTAAATAATCAACTGGGCTGTCTATTCAATTTGAGAATTCAGTAAAAAAAAAATGTAAACTTCTACACCTTATAAAAAAAATGTACAATAAATTTTCACCAGTTTAGTTAATCTCAGAGAAAAAAACTTGATTGTGGAGTTGTATGGGATGGGATCTTTGAATAAGGTAGGGAAATAGTATTGATTAATGATAATAATAAGCATTAAGTTTATACTGGGAAGAGTATATTATAGTTTTCCCCTTAGCACAAGTAAAAGTAGTAGCATGAATTCAGCATTATGGTTTACAAAGGTGCAACAGAACAAGCATCCACTACCAGACAATACAAGTTGTCACTGAACTAGCATTGATTAGTGAGGCTGACTTTGACAGAATTTTATAGTTTTCCCCTTAGCACAAGTAAAAGTAGTAGCATGAATTCAGCCGGCCAATATGGTTTACAAAGGTGCAACAGAAAAAGTATCCAGAACCAGACAATACAAGTTTACATAGCGAAGAAGCTCATTAGGTAAGACGACTCTGAGGTGAATTTTAAAAAGCTTCAATCAACACAATGAAAGACGATACAAATAAAATAAATGGCTGCCATTTAATAAAGTTCAGACAGGGAGAGGTAATGTACAAGGTTCGTATTACTTTTTGAAAAAGAAATTCCAGACTTTTTGCAGACTTTTTTAGAAAAATTCCAGACTATACAGATAATGTGTTAGCGAATAATTTATAAAATGATGACCATTTGATAAATTACAATTACTTATACTAAATTGACATTTATTTTAGACAATTGAGCTACATTTATATTGAACTCTAACCAAATTATCAGAAAATCACTTTTCTAAGTTTGCCTAACTCCACACCACCTAAAATGTTAATAATTAAAATAATTTATTAAAATGATGCAGCTATTTTGTTTTAAACATTAAACTTATGTAATCTGTTCTTGATCTAATTGCTAATGTTTCCAATTAAACTATTATAAAATGGTATTGCATAATAGTGAGAATTAATTACTTTAAAGAATAATAACGTAATGTATTAATTTAGGTCTGCTCTTGTTAAGAAGCCTAATATGGGCTACTTGTAAAAAAAAAATTGGAGCAAAAAAAAACCCTGCAGGCTGTAACCACATCATTCAAAATCACTGTCTATGCTTATAGCTGAGAAAAGGGTCTGCAATACAAAATTGCCGGTATCCTCTTCCCCCCCGCCTCCACACAAGACACGGTGAAGGGGTCACTATGAGGTCATAGTAGTCTAGACTTCAGTATGGCTGTTTAATACGTCATACCATGAACTATGATGTGACTTATACCACCCCCCCCCATCCTCATTACCAAGCAGTACGAAGTAGTCTAGACTTCCTTCAGTATGGCTGTTTAATACGTCATACCATGAACTATGATGTGACTTATACCACCCCCCCCCATCCTCATTACCAAGCAGTACGAACAATGTGCTTGGGTTCACACAAGTGACCGTAGTTATAAGAAGGGGTAGTTATCAGAAGGGGTGGGGTAGTCTAGCTTTAATGGTGAGCATTGAAATATGTGCTTGTGTTTTAAAAACCATCCCAGCGTGTGTGTAAAGTGTGTGTAAACAAAACACGGTTTTATATCTACCCTAACATTATTGCAAGAGCGTGTCGTCACACTTTCTGAAACTTCCTACTGACTTTTCCGGAGTGTCACATAATTTATGGACGACTCCTAAATAAAAATTGTACCTCTTTGGAAAGCGACCGCTGAAGCAAACAGAAATACAGGTATGAACCCAAGGAGGCCTTGAGACTTACTAATCTTATAAATGCTAATATTAATCCAACCTAAATGAACGCGTGTGAACAGGGGGGGGGGGGGGGGGGGGGGAACGGGACAGGGGGAGATCTAAAATCTGAAATTTTTATGGGACGTCATAAATGGATGACCCTTACAGACAAATAGATTATATCTAAACTACCACTCACACATCTCCCCCATAACATTTTTGTTATGACTGCCTGCATGCAAACTTAAACAATGAAAAATAGCGGGTAAAATCGAGAGCCTAACAATTCCGAGGGCGATCATTCTTTCATTAATTGAAAATTTTAAATACTCGTAACACATCCACACGGTCTGTCGCGCCACAAAATATCTCTGCCCTCCCCTTCCCCTCCTCCCCCAATGACGTAGTAACTGAGCATCCGTTGTTTGTTTTTTCTGCTAACCAGCGAAAAGGTCACAACACATTGTAAATTTGAGTAAATTCACTTAAAATATAATTTTTAAGTTGGAAAATATGGACTTCGAAATTTTGTTTCTAAATCTAGATTCCAGACTTTTTAAAAATCCAGCCCAAAAACTAGCGATTTTCCAGACTTTTTTAAGTCTTAAATTCACTTTTCTAAATTCAAGACTTTTTCCAGACTGCGTAGGAACCCTGAATGTAACAAAGACCCTTTGTTAGACCTTAGTGCTGCTGCAGATATAGGAACAAAACATTACTTTGAGGGTTAAGCATTAACCTAAAAAATGTAAAGTGATAAAATACATGAGAAGAGTACATTGGATAAACTAAGACCTAAATGTAGTACTTTGAAGAGCAAGGCTTAAAACTTGTATACTGGGTAAAGGAAAATAAAGAACTAGTAGACTGAAATCTGAACAAAGAACTAAAAGCAGTACATGAGGAGCTGTAGTTGTAGTTCAATTGAAACAATATTTAAAACAAGTATATATGGACCAAAAAAAGTAATAGCTTCATAGATAGACAGAACGTGAATATAAAAAGAATAACTACTGCATCTAGAAGTGGATGAAGCAGAGTTCAGTCCCATGTTGGCACTAAAAATACTGAATGCTATCAAACCAACCAGTGAGTACCTGACACAGAAGAAAGTAGACACTCACTACAACAAATAATTGTCATTACTTGCCATAACGGCACACAGACTTAATTTTCTCTCTAGAGTATATTTGTGAATATGTGTTGTAAGTTTGAGTAGACAGACCCTACAAATTATATACAAGGCTACATTTCTGTAGGAGAAGCATCTGTTAAGTCAAAAATCTAAAAAGGGAAATGAAAGGTTAAAAAAAAACATTACATACACCATCATCCAGGTAATAATTCTGAAATAACAGACCAAGCTCTCTAAGGAAAGTTTTGAAAAAAAAAATAATACTACCAGGTTTTTCATAATTTAAAAGCCAGATAAGATAGGTTAAGCAAAAAAAAAAAAATTAAATAATTCACATTTAACAATATGTACAACATCACATGAAGTCTTCATATTCTATTCATTAGAAGATTGTATCTTATTATGACAACATTGAATGAATGCGAAGTAAATTAAGGTAATAAATGTTAATGGTTGCAATGTATGAGAGAAAATGAATACATATAAAAATTTTGTGGCTGATAAAAATTTAATAAAATTTAGTCATTCAAACATTGCAGAAAAAATATGTCAGTTATGCTACACAATGTGTGAATTTGTAGTATAAGCATTTTCAGAAAAATATTTATTTTTCACTTTATAAATAACTTCTACCAATTTTGTTTTTAAAAAGGTGCTTTTTATTTAATCTTAACCATTAATGTCCCATTCATTCTCCCAAAACTCCACCCATGACGGCCCAATGTAAGGAGCATAACTCTGTATGATCAAGTGAATAGTTTCACAAAATATTTGTTGTTGTCTAAATGAAATTGAAAATTAAGATAAAAAGTACTGCTTAATGTTGGGAATAAACCTGGCTTTCCAACAGTATTAAATAGAATATATTATATTCGGTACAAGTACAGAATAAAAATTAAAAATGTCGGAGAAAATTCAAAACAGGTCATTTTCGGTAGTCAACTTTATTTATTTTTGTCTAAACAACTATGCATCGAATTTAACAGTTAAATATCAATTTGGTTATGTTTAAGATATATAATTCATAAAATACATGCCAAGATACGTTTAGAGGCATTATTTTATTTTATTTTTAATATTAAATCTATTAAAAATAGGACAGATGAGTCTAAAATTTCGAGATAGAAAGAAACTGTTATTTTTTATCTTTCAAAAGCGCCATTGAAATTAGAAGACCGGAAAAGGATGCTGAAACTATCCGACTTCCTGTTTAGTTAAAAATTAGGATTTGTAGGCCAAATTTTAATGAAACAAATTTAATTTTTCTATGCGTATTGTAAGCGGGCGGCAGCGGGCGTTACGGGACATTAACTGTGTCGGGCGGCAGCGGGCGTTACGGGACATTAATGGTTAATTAAGTCTTTGTGATGATATGACAACAGCGAGTGATATGGTTTGAAATAGATGAAAAGTGTTAGACAACACATGGATGATGCTTAACATCTTTTGATAAATACTGCTTTTGTGAAAAATTCATAATTTAAAAAAAAAAAATTAGATTTGCATAATGGCTCATGTTAGAGTTTGTATCAAATATTTATAGTGCCCACTCTAAAGATTATGTTTCAGCTCATTGGATACAAAAACAAATCTATAATAGAAATAAACATCCAGTAAGACTTACACTCATCTAATGTAGGGCCAACACCCATCTAATGTAGGGCAAACACCCATGAAATGTAGAGCAAACACCCATTTAATGTAGGAACAACACCAATCTAATGTAATGCTAACACATCTAATGTAGGGCCAACACCCATCTAATGTAGGGCAAATACTCATCTAATGTAGGGCCGAAACCCATCTAATGTAGGGCCAACACCCATCTAATGTAGGGCCAACACCCATCTAATGTAGGGCCAACACCCATCTACTGTAACAACACCAACCTCAATTGAAAAGTCATGTTCCTCTGTGTACTTTGATTGCAAGTATCTTCTCCTGAAATAAATAAAAAAAAGATAATTAAAATGTACAAGGATATGTAGGATTAAACAAAACCTTTAATTAAATTATTTTTCATTACAATGAGCAACAAAACAAAAGTTATCTCTCTTTGGTTTCTTAAATAATGTAACAGGAAATCTCTGTCTTCAGAAATGAGCGGTGTGTACAGAGTTTAATAAAGCAACAACCACAATAAATCCGGACACCTATCTCTTAGTTAAAAAACACAAATCAACCTCAAATTTTTCTGACAAAGGATCCAAATTTTAAATTATGAGATTTGGCAAGGCGAGCGAAGTTACAATTCAACCCCCATTTATTTTAATGAAAAAACCCATAACAACCCCACTGCATCTTAAGGATTAGAGGCAATGCCACTCAGAAACCAGGCAACAAACTGGTTGACAGTTATTTAAATGGTTAGCCACAAGAAAAATGTCTTCATTTTTTATTGATCATAGATCTTGGTAAAATAATATAATAAATGAAGACAGTCTTCCTGTAGCTGATCATTTCAATAAAAGTAAAAACAATATTAAAACTGACTTTTTTGTTGCCGCTGTCCGGTTTTGCTACTATTTTAAAAACCACATGAACAAGGAAATGTGGTTAATACTCAAATTTGGCACACGAGCGCCAGATGGCTTGAACAAGCAAATGTCTTTCATCTAACCATTGCGCTAACAAACCCTCACTCCTATACATTGTCCATGTGTCCTTTAACAAGACATGTTTTCACTGCCCAGCTTAGTCCAAAGAAAAAATTCTGTTTGTTTGCATTTTTTGTATATCTTTAACCACTTTTGTGTATTGACGAAGACCTTGGGTATAAATGTCCATTGTTCCTGTTATTATTGTCTTGTATTTGTGAGGAGGATATTATTAAATTATACCTGATTTTACTAATATTTATTTGCATAAACCTCACTGCAGCTATAACATCATTCTTTATATTTATTAACAAAAATAAAATATCTCAATAAACTACAAGATCTAATATAAAAGGCCCTTAAAACAGACCTATTAGGGGTCGTCCATAAATGATGTCACACTCGTAGGGGGGAGGGGGTTCCGTAAATTTGTGACGGTGTGTGATGAGTGGGAAGGGGGTTCAGATGGTGTAATGTAACACTTTTGCATTATAAAAAGCATTGTTAGAAAACAAATTTTTTGATTTTAGAAAATTGTTTTAATAAATTGTAAGAGGAATTGATTAAAATAGTCTTTGTTGTTGACAGAGTTCTGAGTTCAGACAAGATTTTGGAAAAATATAGTATTTTAAGAAAAAATCAACTGCAATTCTGAGGGGGGTTGTAGGCTGAGGTGTGATGTCATTTTATGGGGGTCTGGCTTTTTGTGATGATGTGTGACGGAGGGAAGGGGGGGGGGGAGAGAGGTAAAAATCGTCAAAAGTGTGACATTTTCATATAATAATATTATGGATGACCCCTTAAGCATAAGGCCTAATAATTATGTAACAAACAGTAAAAACACAACTCAAATGACAACAATGCCGAGTGATTGATTTGACAGAGATTCACAGATGAAGAAAGTATTGAAAGTGACTCAACCAGTCAACCCAGTCACACAAATGACAACAAACTCACCTCCTGTCAACGATACCAAAACACCTTCGAACGCAGTTACCCATTATTATGAAATAGATCTAGATCTAAATGTGTTTTAATTAAGTGCATAGTTTCTACTATTTTATTTAAAATGCTAATTATATTTAGCATTATGTAAACATTTTAAACGTCTTCCCTTCTTTCAATTCTAAGAATAAACAATTTTTCACATGATCACAATTTGTTTTCACCGGAAGTGATACCACTTGTGAACCATACATTGTGTCTATGATAGGCCTAGCAGTACAAACGTTTCTTGATTCGATTAAAAAATTATTTATGCATAACCTCACAGCCATTTCAAAGTAGTTATCTTTTGCAACCAGTGCTTAAACCAAGGAAAGAAAATAAAAAGTTCTCCCTCTTATTATTTTCACTGCAATCTTCAAGATTAATCACTAATTAATACTCACGTATTTTATAGGAGGGACTTCAATAAGAATAAACATTTCTCATGTTTACATTAACAAAGTTATCGCCCGTTGATAACATTTTAGCAATTTTAACCATAAACGGCATTTAAAAAAAAATAATTAAATAACATATTACGGTAAATCTATATTCGTATAAAAAGTATTGATTACGCTGAGAAAAAAACTATCAGGTAATTAAGTTGAACTAATTATTTTGACTTTTGACCATCACATAAAAACAACCTAGATAGTGTTAAAATAAAGTAAAAATTAAGTTAACTTTATTGATTTTTAATTATTCTTTTTGCGGACTTAATACCACCTAATCAATTCGATTTTTGAAATTAATATCAATTAAAAAAGGAATGAGGTGGTCTTTGAATGACTGTTCACGATTTTTGCGACACCCCACCTCCCAACCATCGTCACACTTCATCTCACAAAGTTACACCCTACCTAAAATGAGGGCGCTCTCTAAACCAATTCCGCTCACCCTCCTTATTTTGGCACCCTTATATCGTAACAAACTGCAAAAATTTCATTTCTACAAAAAATGACAGTTGTTCGTAAAAAAAAAACAACGAGGTTGTTTCCCTTCCTTACGAGAGCAACCAAGCAAAAAATATTTTCCAGGTACGTTGGTTTTGCTGATGCATCGTGTATAAATACTTTAGACCAGGGGCGTAGCGAGGGGGGGGGGGGCGGGGGGGTGCGGACCGCACCGGGTGACACCATTTAGGGGGGTGACACCAAGGCAAAAAATAGCAAAATATATAGAGAAAAACTTGAAAGGGGGGGGGTGCAAATCGAAAATTTGAGGGGGTGGGTGCAAATCGAAAACTTGAAAGTTTGTCCCCGGGAAGGGTCGCTATGCCTCGGGGGGGGGGGGGGGTGACACCATTCAGTGCCGCACCGGGTGTCACCCGACCTCGCTACGCCACTGCTTTAGACAAAGGTCATTTGCAAATTGAGATCAAGATTAGGTAAATTGGTGAATTTTAATTAAAATGCACATAAATCTTTTAAAAAATGCAATCATTCCATAATAAGGGGGCGGGGAAAGAGGTCATTGGGGCACTATTTGATTCTTTTTTTTTTTTTTTTTTTTTTGCCTTTTTTTCTCGGCCTTCTGATGCTTAATTAATTAGTTTAGCAATGGGCATCCTAGCCCGTCCCTTGACGTCCTCTACCCAACGTCGTCTCTGCCTTCCCCTGCCTTCTCCCTCCTGGCACCGTGCCCTGTGTTACTGTTTTCGATAGGCTGTTAAATCGTGCCCCAAACACATACCATCGGCGTGTCTTTGTATTGACGATACTAAGTAGCTTAACAGTCAATTTTTAAACTATAATAAACATTTATTTGTGACGTTGTTTTTGGTTCAAATTTTTTACATAGCTGCGTGTCGTCACAAAAATATCCAAGAGTTTGACGTTATTGATGGGCGATCATTTTAAAGTTACCTTTAATTGTGTAACACAAAAAAGGGAAGGGGGGGGGGCGTTGGTTTCTCTTTTTTGTTATATCCATGGTGTTGTATTTTGTGTGGATAGTGGTTATGTTATCTGGTTTATTGTGTGTGGCGCGGTCGTTTATCGTTTTGTTATATTGTGTTGTGTTTTCTGGGAAAGGGGTTGGGTGTGTTTGGGGAGGGGGGGGGGGGGGACGGACGGACGGATCGGAGCTGAATTGGTGGCTGTTAGTCTTGTTGTAGGCCACTGTTACAGCTTTGGTTTCGAGAGTAAGATTTTTGCTCGAAAGTTCTCATTACTCTAGTCAGTTTCTAGACTTGCATTAATTGTATGTCAATGTGTGTGTGTGTGTGAACACACACACGCACACACACACACGCACGCACACACACACACACACGTATACGCACACGCACACGCACATACACATATACACACACTAACACACACATAATTATGTATCCTTACATAATGTGTGTGTGTGTCTATGTATGTAAAAGCTGAATACGAATCCCTAATGACGCAAATGATTGAATGATTGAAGTTTCGTGATTTTGATTAGATCCGTGAGATTGAATCTTCTGCACAAGGTACTCAATGCACAAATTGTTTGCGTATGCTCAAATCTAAATCAACTTATTGGTTAGGCGCATGATTGATAATAACTAAACCCACTAAAAACGGCTGTTTCAAAAATAAATAAAAAATGACTTGAAAATCGAGTTCACGCCTACTCAAAACATATTATCTTTCTCCAATAAAATATGAATTTTGAAATACAAAACATTTTTTTTTAAAACCAAAACAAGACAAGCGATTGAATAACTCGTTAAAAAAATTCTTATAAGATCATCGAATTACCGAAAGCAAATCTTGGAGTTTCAAATTCCTCATGAATAGATCGAATTAGCGATGGTGTGGGGGCCGCCGTCCTTACTGTCTGTGAAAATAAAACGATTAAATGTCGGTTCTCTCTTAGGATTTGTATCAGACAGCGCCACGCGATAACTCAGTTTGATTCACACCGAGGCTGCGTTAAACGCGGGTAATTTCTCGCTGACATAGCTTTAGCTGTGTCTTTCTTTGGCGAATCTCGGGGGAGAGGTGGGGTTGACCCCCTACAGATGAAATAAGTGGCGTTATGTTACCGCTCTGAGCTGTCACTTTACAACAAGATAAATGTATTTAAAAAGTTATGCAAAAATGAAGTAAAAAAGTACAATAACCAATTCGTAGAAAATAAAAGTTTTTTTTTTTTTTACAGTTTTGTGTAATATTGAATAATAAATAAACTATGTATGTTGGTTCATCCCCTTTAGGGAGCAAAACGAATAGGTCTCTATACTGAAAAAAAATGAGATACTGCATTTTCAGCTGGTTTTTGTTTTTTATAAAGCTATTTATATTTTATTTTATTTTTATTATATTTATTTATACATTTGTAAACTAAGAACTACTTAGCTCTAATGACAGTTGTATTAATGGAAAGTTAATCATCACTGCTTCAACATAGTTAACAGAAACATGATATTTTAACATGTAGCAAAACAAAAGGGACATTAATAAAAAATATCCAGCTGCAATTATTCTACATTGATAAACCTAATGTAGAAACATTATACCGTAATCAGTATTCAAATAGACTTCAAATACAATTTAAAATCAAGAACCAGTAGATGAGCACAAATCCTTATTAAACGCATAGTGATTTGGAAGGGGACACAATAAGAATAGGTTTCTATTGTAGGTGGCGAAACATGCTTTAGAACTAGTTTCTTATGAGGCTCTAATCGGCAATAGCTACTGACGTATACACTACTATTTAAAATACAAGTTAAAATGAAAGAGTTTTTTAAAATTCAGTCTGATGTATGGTTTTGTGAAATTAACTACCCGTTAGTATAAAATATAAAACGCAAAAGAAATAATATAAAAAAACCAACCAATTATTAAAGCTAAAACAAACAAAACAACAACAAGCAATTATTAAAATAGAGTCTTAAATAACAAAGTGTCATCGATTGTTGATAAGAAACTCTAAAAAAAATACGCAAGTAGCCATCGTCTCCAGAAATGACCGGAACTCGAATACCCATAATACCCATCCAATCCGATTGGTCAGATGAGAGAAAATCAATACTCCGCCTACTTGAACTGGCAGGTGACCACCGAGGCTGTGTGGTTATTATATTTTTCTGTACGATTTTACACTTCCTGTCAGCGAGCTCAAACCGGAAGCAGTTACCATACAAGGACGTCTGGGGGCCAGACTGGCGGGATACGTACAAGAGGTATTTTGAACAAGGTTTCTTTATTTAATGACGACTAGTGCAAGTGACTAGTGGGCTGGGCGTATTAAGGGGAATGGTTGTTAACAAATAGTTACGGGTTCTAAACCCCAGTCAGATGATGGTTGTTGGCTGGTGGGCAGCAAACTACATAGGGAGGAAACTCTTAAATTAAACAGGAGTGCAGGCCCTTGGAATACAAACTCCGGCAACTCTTGCGACATAACCAATGCCAAGTTGCAGTGGCGTCTCTTGGTCGGGTGACACCGGTAGTCCAGGATGGCACGCCCTCTGCCTACACTAATATGCAAGATAGACTAAATATATAGTCTGTTTGGTGTCATCCGCATCCCAGTTGATGTCACGCCGCATCAAATGCTTGCGTTTAGTTTTAATAAGGTACGAAATTAACTGGAAAAGCTGATTTTCTCTTTTAAAAAAGTTATATTTCGTTTTGGTTTCACCCCCCTTGGGTGGTGTCACCCGGTGTGGACCGCGCCCCCTCCCTTTAGCTCCCACTTTTTGTCGATACTACCAAGCTGTATAGTTAACAGAGTTTCTTTCAGGCACCACGTAGCATGTCCACCGCCCTCCAGATGAAATAGAAAATACACATAATTAATATAGAAAATATTTACTGAAATCAGTGTCTGTCCCATCGAATATTTTTTAAAAAATGTGTGAAAGAAACATTGTTAGGTAATACATCTCATATGAGTCCGTTAGTTTAGTGTAGAGAGAGAGGGGGGAGGGAAGAGTCCTGATATATGGGAAATAGCTGCACGTTCTCAACTAACTGCCTAGGCTTTTTTACAACAACTTCAGTATGAGTTCTGGTGAAAATAGCTTCCGGAAAAAGAACACATAATATTTGTTTAATTTATGTGACCTAAATATTATAATTAAAATATAACTCACAGACAGGTTTCTTTCATGTTTAATTAAACATAAATAAATATTTATATTTTTTTTTACTCAAAAACTCTAACAAAGTTTGATGCAAATGATGTAATCACCGCTGGTATG